ACACACACACACACACGTACATATATCTTCCTGATGATCCGGCTCTTTTATCATCATAAATTGCCCATTTAGTATCATTTTTTTGTTTTAAAACATATTTGATATTAGCATAGCTATTCCAGCTTTCTTGTGGTTACTATTTGCATGGTATATATATTCCTCTTTTTTTTTTTTTTTTTTTAACTTCAACAAACTTGTTTTGTGTCTAAAGTGTGATTTCTAAACACAGCATGTAGTTGAATCTTGTTTTATATCCAGTTTCCAATCTCTATTTGTTTCTATTGTCTAATTTATTCAGATTTAGTGTTATTACTGATATGGTTGAATTTACACTGCTATTTTACTTTTTGTTTTCTATAAGTCTCTCTCAAGTCTTTTTTTTTTGAGACCAGAGTTTCGCTCTCATCTCCCAGGCTGGAGTGCAATGGGGCGATCTCGGCTCACTGCAACCTCCGCCTCCCAGGTTCAAGCAATTCTCCTGCCTCTGCCTCACAAGTAGCTGGGATTACAGGCACCTGCCACCACGTGCCCAGCTAATTTTTGTATTTTTAGTAGAGATGGGGTTTCGCCATGTTAGCCAGGCTGGTCTCAAACTCCTGACCTCAGGTGATCCACCCTCCTTGGCCTCCCAAAGTGCTGGGATTACAGGTGTGAGCCACCATGCCCAGCCCTCTCTCAAGTCTTTTTATTCTCCTATTCCTCCTTTACTCCTTTCCTTTATATTAAACAAATACGTCTTGTGTAACAGTTTCAATTATTAGTGACTTTTAAAATACTGTCTTATTTTTATTTTTTGTTCTTCCTCTAGGACTTATCATGTACATTTTAAGTTTTCAGAATCGACTTCAGATTTATACTAACTTAATTTCAGTGAGATATAGAAATGTTATTTCTATATAGTGCTATTTCCTCTTTTTGTACAACTGTTACACATATTTACATATGTTAGAAACCGAAGAATATATTGTTACATTGTTACATTATATAATCTTATATCTTTTAAAGAAGCTGAGCAAATAAATGAGACTAAGTATATATTCTTTATGATATTAACCTTCTTATTTACCATTTCATTTGTTCCCATGATTTCAGATTTTACCATATGGTGTCACTTTACACCAGTACACTTTGTTTAGCTGGGTATGGTGGTGCAGCTCTGCACTCCTAGCTACCAAGAGGCTGAGGAAGGAGGATCACCTAAGCCCTGGAATTCAAAGTTGTAGTGATCTATAATTGTACCATTACGCCTGGGTGACACAGCAAGGCTCTGCCTCAAAAAAAAAAAATTAAGAATAAACAAAATTTAAAGTATCCATTTTGCTCTTTTGTGTACCCATATCCTTTGTGTTATTATTGGCTAATAAATTACATCTTTCTATGCTATAGGTCCAAAAATACAGATCAAGATGGGGGTGTGGGAGAGAGAGAGAGAAGATATTAGTGCTTTTAAATTATTAAATGAAGAAAGGTGAAGTTGAGTATACTCACAGTAATCCAAAGATGACAATGAGTTTAGCAGGATTCTCTGTCTCACTCCTCCAACTCTCTTTTAGTTTCCTAAGAGTCTGCCTCTACTGGTATCTCACTCAGCTGTTTGGCTACAGGAATTGACAATTGATTGCTTTATTGTTCTCAGCAATGTTCTGGGCCATTAATTGCTCCACAGTCTAATCCAATTAAATTTGAACCCCTTTGCAAAGACAGTCTTTGAGGCCTGTTTCAATCTCAGGAAAGGCTTTTGTTAGCTGTCTCTTTCCCTAATTATTTCTGTTCTGTGGTTTAACTTATTGCTATCATGAAGCTACCAGCCTCTTCATAATTGCTTACTACCAAAATCTCCATTGCTTTTGATAGCAGCCTTAGACTTCAGCTTTACCACATTCCCTTAGGGAGAGCTACGGAGCTATTCTTACAGCCTGTCTTTCCCGCTAGGAAAAACCTCTGTCCCACTGCTCTGGAGCTGAGGGAAGGAAAAAGGGCATGCCTCTGTTGGGAGTGACATCTCTGCTTTATGTGTGGGGCATTGGGAGGAGGTGGTAGCCCTGATCTTTGTCTTCTCTCCTGGCATGGAAACAGGACTATAAAAGTGAGTTCAGGTCAAAGCCACTGAGCCCAATATTTTTGGCCTGTCTATAATAGAGCTTCTGCAACATGGAGCTAGTGGGTGGGGAATAAGAAACTCTAGCAGCTTGCTTCTCCAGGAAGAAATGGTAGCCCTAGACTGGAGCTTGGGGGAGTAGAAGCTCTTTGTTCTAACCCACACCTGCCTAAAGCAGAGCGTCCATCACACTGAGATGGGGTTTGTTGTAAGGAGGGGTTGGAATTCTGCTTAAATGTCACAGACTCTTACTGTTCTTATAGAAACTTAATAAATTGTATTTTTTTTTTTTGTTTTTTGAGATGGAGTCTTGCTCTGTCCTCCATGTTGGAGTGCAATGCACAGTCTCAGTTCACTGCAACCTCCACCTTCTGGGTTCAAGCAATTCTCCTGCCTCAGCCTCCTGAGTAACTAGGACTACAGGCACCCACCACCACACCGGCTAATTTTTGTATTTTCAGTAGAGATGGGGTTTTGCCATGTTGGCTAGGCTGGTCTAGAACTCCTGGCCTCAGGTGATCCGCCTGTCTCAGCCTCCCAAAGTGACTTAGTACATTGTCTTAAATAAATGTTTCTGCCGGGCGCGGTGGCTCACGCCTGTAATCCCAGCACTTTGGGAGGCCGAGGCGGGTGGATCACGAGGTCAAGAGATCGAGACCATCCTGGTCAACATGGTGAAACCCCGTCTCTACTAAAACTACAAAAAATTAGCTGGGCATGGTGGCATGTGCCTGTAATCCCAGCTACTTAGGAGGCTGAGGCAGGAGAATTGCCTGAACCTAGGAGGCGGAGGTTGCGGTGAGCCGAGATAGTGCCATTGCACTCCAGCCTGGGTAACAAGAGTGAAACTCTGTCTCAAAAAAAAAAAAAAAAAAAAAAAAGTTTCTTCATCTGCTGTATGCCCTTAGAACAATTTCCAGAAGCCTTAAATGATGTTTTCAAAATGTTCACCAGTTAGAATTGGTTAGCTGAGGCTGGGTGCAGTGACTCATGCCTGTAATCCCAACATTGTGGGAGGCCGAGGCAGGTGGATTACCTAAGGTCGGGAGTTTGAGATCAGGCTGACCAACATGGAGAAACCCCCATCTCTACAAAAATACAAAATTAGCCAGGTGTGGTGGCGTATGCCTGTAATCCCAGCTACTCAGGAGGCTGAGGCGGGAGAATTGCTTGAACCAGGAGGCAGAGATTGTGGTGAGCCGAGATCGCGCCATTGCACTCCCGCCTGGGCAACAAGAGCAAAACGCCATCTCAAAAAAAAAAAAAAAGAATTGGGTAGCTGAGGAGAGGATCAGTGGAGCTCCTCTTACCACTATTCTAGAAGTATTCCTTCTATATTTAAAAAATATATAAAATTAATAAAATTTGCCTAAGGCTAGGAGCCAGGAAACCAGAAGACTCAAAGAGGAACCTAAGGTTGAAATCCACCAAGACTGGCTTGCGGGGCAGTGAAGACTGTGCACTCTGCTTGCCAAGCCGTGTGCCCATGTAGCTGTGTTAATCTAGAAGAAATAGCACATTTTTCTAATGTGAGCAGGAAGAGGGGCACCGCTTTCTAATTCACACAAAGGCACCAATGTAGTTGCACAGCCCCAGAAGCCATAGAGACTCCAGTTGATGGGTTATGTAGGATGAGTCAACCATCCAGAGCGGTGATTCCCAATTTTGGCTGCTCATTAGGATCACTTGGGGAGCTGTTGAAAAATACCAGTGTGAGGGTCCCTCCTAGACCAATTAAATCACACTCTCTTGGGATGGAGCCCAGCCATCAGTATTTTTAATGGCTCCTCAGAGGATGCTAATGTACAGTCAGGATTGAGAACCACTGATCTAGAGCTGGGAGCCAGGGGAATGCGATTCTTTGAACCTAAATACCTCAAGAGGATATAAGCTGACAGTGGAGCTCCCATGCTGGCAGCTGTAAAATGCTGTAAAAGTAAATAGTGACTAAAATTGGCAGAGCAAAGTAAGTCAAATTTACAGTAAGTAGTTTCTTTCCTGAAAGAAATTGCTCAAGTTGTCCCCAAGTAATAAGAAAAACAGACAATGACACTGTAAACATGGTTTCCACATATGCCCACTGCCGATCCTCATTGATATGGCTCACCCAAGCCTGGTCAATTATGTCTCCTTGTGTGACAATGATGCTATGGTGGCAGGCCCCGCCCACTCATCTGGCCACTCTCTACTCCATGCTATTCTTGGCTTAGAGAGATAGAGGCTGTCTTTACAGGGGCATTAATTCCCAAAAGCCAGAGAATATAACGCCTTCATCCCAGGGACAGGCCTTTAACAAGTGGACTCTACTTAGTTCCTAGAATGTTCTGCCCAAAAAGTACTCTATTGCATAGAAAGAAATCATTACACCAAAAAAAAAAATGGTGATGAGAGAATTTGTAAAATGTTATGGAACTTCTCTCCGTCATTTGCCGACCCCTTTCTTGTCTTGGATGCTCAGGCTTGTAGGAAGTCCTCTGCGTGCTCCATAAATGCCGTTTTGTTCCCTTCTTTCCTTCTTCCAGAAACCTCCTTACTCACTCAAAAGCACCATAGCTCGGTAAAATTTAAACATTTGGTAGAGATCTTCTAAACAAGGGAAAGCATACACATGGCTTATATGACCCACTTCCTCATCCTTTACTGCCTACAAATATCTATGATTGATTCACGGTGCTCTTTCCTGGGAACCCACCTCCAGGCAGCCTCTCTAGAGGTGAAACATAAGTAGGAACTTCTTTCCCACCTCTGAATCAAACCAAAAATAACTTGGTACAGTGAAATGAGTTTGACCAAGAATCAGACTTAGATTGAAAATTTAGCGTAGCTACTTCCAACTGTTGACTTTAATAAGTTACTCCATCTCTCTGAGTCATATCAGCTCAATGGGAGAACTAATGCTTACCTGTGTTATTGGATTAAATAATCACAGTGGTCCACCTCACAGCGTATCAGCTACTCATACTTCTCTTGCTCCAATAGGGGAGGAAAACAAAACTCTTCCTCTACACTCCTAGGTTCTCTGACTGGGGACCTGAAAATTAAATGGGCAAAAGACAGACAAACAAGAGGAAAACAAATAGAGTATTAACATGTGCAATGCATAGACATGTGGGAGAAACTCAAGATGAGTAATTCAAAGGAATGGATAGAACTTGGAGCTTGTATTTTCAAAAAGAACAGTAAATTTGTAGAGAAGTGACAAGATGAAGGATAATGGGTTTAGGCTTTTTAGGGGCAGCAAGCTGTGGGAAGGTACATATATGGGGAAAATAAGGGTTATTTCAGTAAGTTTCGTTATGTGAATTCTTGTAAGTGCTGTCCCAGGGCTGATAAGTCTAGAGTTACCTCCAGTGCCTACTAAGAATCTAAGCCTGCAAAATGGGAGGAAGGGAGAGAGCTTTATTCATTCAGTCATTCATTCACTTATTTTTGGCATCTGCTGTTACTCAGTTGTCTTCAGTTCAAAATAATGTTCGTGTCAAAGTGGCATATTTTAGGATAACATATTCTGATCCCCTAGGCTCCCCATCCCAATGTACACACACACACACAAACACACACACACACACACACACACACACCCCTTCACAAGAGAGGAAAACGAATAAGACCTCAGTGATAAAATGACTTGCTAGCTAGTGACGCCTTAGTCAGTGGCAAAATTACTAGTACTCAATCAACAGACCTGATTAATGAATAATAACAACCTCAACTCAGGACAAATGGCTTTTAAGTGTTACCTAATGTATTAGTCCATTCTCACACTGCTATAAGGACAGACCCGAGACTGGGTCATTTATAAAGGAAAGAGGTTTAATGACTCGCAGTTCAACAGGGCTGGGGAGGCCTCCAGAAATTCAAAATCATGGCAGAAGAGGAAGCAAATTCATCCTTCTTGACATGGTGACAGGAAGGAGAAGTGCAGAGTGAAGTGGGAGAAAAGCCCCTTATAAATCAGATCTCAAGATAACTCACTCACTATCAGCATGGAGGTAAGTGCCCCCATGATTCAATTACTCCCACGGGATCCCTCCCACGACATGTGGGGATTATGGGAACTACAATTCCAGATGAGATTTGGGTAGGGACACAGCTAAACCATATCACCTAGACTGATCTAATGAAAAATATACTCTGCCAAAATTTTCATATCATTTTAAATGTCTTGGCATATCCCATACAACTTCCCATTCAGAGAAACACTAGCAGCCATCGCACAGGAAGAGTCTGGACATGTGGACTTCACTTGTGCAATACAAAAAAAAACGCATTAGATTCTTGGCCCTGGTGATGAAGCTTCTGGGTAGGAAGGTGGTGTTCCTTTAAGCAATTTAAAAAAGACATTTCTTTCAGTGGCTTTGGCCAGGGCGTCTCTCTTAGCTCTCAGAATGCCTGGCCCATACAGAAGGGCCTCAGGAATTCTAAAGTCATTGGGAGACTGTGCAGATCTGATAACAGTCTTCCCGCCCTCATCCCCTGCCTCACCCTCTGCATTTTTCCATCTCCCAAGCTCTCTTGTTTTCTGCACTTGTAAAAATTTCTTTGTATTTATTCTAGCAGTAGCCTGCCACGCAATAAAAGAATGAGGGAATCTCATTAAAATTATATCAGAAAGAAAAGAATGGAGTAGAGCTTGAAATTCCTGCAATCTACACACAATAACCTAATCAACTAGAACGCGAAGGTTAAATGCAGTCCACCCTATGGTGAACCTAGAAGACTGAGCCACTTCCTGGGGAACTGCTACCTTCAGCATACCTAGTGGTAGCCATATTAAAATGCAGGCATGAAAAGCCCTTACATTTTACAGCACTTTTAACCTTCCTACTTACTTGCACAATTATTTATTTTACTGAATTCTGTAAAAAGGCCCAGCAAGGAGAGAAAAGTTATTACTATTACCCCATTTTGAGAGGAAAGGCAAAAGAGGCAGTGAGGTTTCTCTAAGGTTACCTCGCTAGTGGTGGGGTAAACCCAAGCCAAGAGACCACTCTTGTTTCTTCCCACATACCCACATCTTCTCTTAATTAAAATGAACCCAGGCTGAAACATAGTCAGATGACTGACAATTGTACGATCATCTTTCTCTCCCTTGGCTTGTAGTTTGAATTTGATTGACATGAGCCTAAGTAAAGAGGAGAACACAATATTTGCTTAGAACTAAAAGTGATATCCTGTAAATCTGCCCTAGCCTGGAACTGAAACGGACCCAATAATCCCATAGATAGCTTTTTGGAAAAACATACAAATTGACCCTGCTGGTCTTAAAGCTTGAAACTTACATTTGTTTTATCTGAGTTTCTTCCTCAGGAAAGGACCTTCAAGCCTCTCAAAAAAAAGCGTCAAAGACCTGAAACTCACCAGATCACTGCATCCAAACAATGAGATGCTGGACCCCTCCTTCATCATGATGGCTTCCTTGCACCTGGTAGCTGCTGTTTTCTTACACATTGTTTCCTTTCTTCCCTCCTGTATAAAACCCTACCTTTAGTAGGTCAAGGAAAGGATTTGAGACTGATCTCCCATTTCCTCAGCTGCAGCACCGAATGAAAGCCTTCCTCCTTGACAATACTCATCATCTCAGTTACTGATTTTCTGGGTGGTGAACAGCAGGACCTTGACTGAAGCCCTGGTGTTTCAGTAACAGAACTACAGGAGTGTCAGGAGGCTCGGAAGTCCATATGGACAGCAACACTGACTGTCTGGAAGCAGCATAAACACCCTGCTAAACATGTACCTATTCCATACATACACATGTCCTCTATGTACAGAACAATATGTCCTGACATAACTATGTTAAGTCATAGTAGTTACAGTCAGGACATATTTTCTCAATTGAAAGATATTAAAAGTTGAATATGTTGGGGGCAGTGGGGAGATTGGTGAATTTTTTTAGCATTGAAAAAGGGCCCGCAGAAGGTGAAAATCACTTCAGAGTCTTGGCTGACCTCCACTCAAAATTCACCATTCCTGACTTCCATTTCTTCAGGGGCCTGATCTCTGCTTTAAAATGATGGTAAGCTAATATGATAATATAATATGTATTAATAATTTAATGCTTACCCTTCCTAGGTAATATATGTGCATTTTAGAATGAGCTGTTTTAGACAACACACTTCAATCCAAAGCAAACTTTCTAACCCACGTTTCTCTAGCAATGACCTCTCACCTGAGTGCCAGACCTGTATATTCTCAGCTTACTAAATAACTCCATTTGAACCTCCCGGAAGAATTGAAAGGCAATGCCTCCAAAATTGATCTCCACTTCTATTCTTCATCTCAGTCAGTGACACCACCTATCATCCACTTATCAAAGCCAGAGACCTGGGAGTTAATCTAGGTTCTTTACGACCCCACCCCAGCCAAGAGCGGGGCCGGTCTTAACACAGCATTTCCCAAATGGTGTTTTACGAGCATCGTGTCAATAGGCAAAATACTTTCCCTGGTCAAACAAGTTTGGAAAACACTGGATAGACAAAGTTTCTATAGGACTTGGAGTTTCTAATATGTTGCCCTGAATTATGAATGTCCAAAAAGGAAAATATATCATCTAATGTTCCAAACTCATTCGCGCCCAGGGCACTCTTATTTTCTTTGCAGAGTATCTTATAGGATCTATGTATTAGAGAACATACTTTGAGAAACGCCATGATCAGATATTTTTGAACCGTGTTTCATTATCACGCGTTGTCTCATGCGATTTCTGTGTTGTAGATAAGTGGTGTAACAGTGTACATATAAGAAGCTGAAAGGCTCAGGCATTACCTGACTTGAAAGCCAGAAATGTGAACGAAAATATTTCCTTACAAATATTTATTGAGAAATCCCAGTCAAAATATCACTGGTATTTTGGGGGCACTTCATGAAGTGTGTTTATGCTTAAAAGTAGGACAAAGTCCAAAAGAATCCTAAACAAATGGCTGGCAGGAGTGATGGCTGGGATGTGCTGTTAAGGGTGGAGTTTTTGGGGGGTGGTTCTAGACTTACTCTCCACTGGCTTGTATTGTTTGAATTTGTTATAGCAAGCTTACGTTTATAATTTGTTTTCTTAAAATGTCAATACAGAAAAAAAAACAATAAACAAATCAAACGCCTGGCTATAGTACTGTTTTAAAAATCCATCTGAAAGAACAAAAATGCAAGAAGAGCCGGACATTCTTGGAAAAGTAGGCAGTGTAAGAACTTGTGCTACCAATTATTACAACGTCATTTTCTTTTTCCAAGATGGATTCTCGTTCCATCGCCCAGGCTGGAGTACAATGGCTTAATCTCGGCTCACTGCAAGCTCCGCCTCCCAGGTTCAAGCAATTCTCCTGCCTCAGCCTCCTGAGTAGCTGGGATTACAGGCACCTGCCACCAAGCCCAGCTAATTTTGTATTTTCAGTAAAGACAGGGTTTCGCTATGTTGGCCAGGCTGGTCTCGAATTCCTGACCTCAGGTAATCCACCCACCTCAGCGTCCCAAAGTGCTAGGATTACAGGCATGAGCCACCATGCCCCACCAAGCTGGAGTCATTCTTAAAGTGAGATAATGGCATGGGTATATAGACCGAGGGATGAGTTAATCCAATAGAAAATCCACAAATAGAGGCAAGGAGATATTGGCACCACACTCTAACCAACTGAGCTAACAGGCCATCGTGTGAGGCAAGCGGACATAAAAATTTAGTAGATGATTAATGTGGCATTTTAAAGCAGTGATGAAAGGTAAACTCAACAAATTTTACTAAAACAATAGGGTAGCTATGTCCCAAATAAACAAGCTTGAATTCCTAACTTATTCGTTATATTAAAATAAATTCCACACAGATCAAAGACTTAAAAATCATTATGAAGCCTTGAAAATAATAAAAGTAAACATAGGTAACTATTTTTATAATCCCAATTTTGAAGGAAGCCTCTTAAAACAGATACAGAAGCCAGAAATGATCAAATCAAAGACCGTACCTTGTATAACACAAAAATTCTCTAAAACAAAAAAGGTAACTGCAAGGTGATTTACAAATGACATATAGAAGAAAATGTTTGCAACATAAATGACAAATAGTTAGCATATTAATGTATTAATATAAAGCCCCCTGATAAATCACTAGGGAAAAGAGGACTGCTAGTAAACCACAAAAAATTATAAGCCCAAATTTCCTTAATTTAGCCTCAATTAAAATTAAAGTTAAAATCAGAGGTCATAAGTTTTTGTTTGTTTTTTTTTTTTTAAGAACTGGCGTCTTGCTACATTACTGAGGCTAGTCTTCAACTCCTGGGCTCAAGCAATCCTCCTGCCTCAACTTCCCAGGTAGCTGAGAGTACACACGACTGGGCCTAGCTACAAGTTTTGAACAGCAGGAATATAAATAAAATATTGAGAAAAACCACCAAGGAAATCTTTCACGTTTTATCGACAAAGATGAGGAAGAAATCTCAAAATATTTTAAAACTCAGTTACCTCAAAGAAACCAAGAATATAAATACTACCCAGGTTGGAGTGATGGTTCTTTCTTATAATCTTTACACTTAATTGGTATTTTATCACCATGACATTGAGCCCTGGATAGCTTATTTGCCAGAAGCTTGCTAGTGAGGTTCTGCTTTATAAATACTATTTTATTGGTACATAATCTTTAACACTGAGATTCATAAGTATGCTTGTCTGGTATGGCCAGTGTTTATTCATTATTTAGCAGATGAAAATGAATTTTAATTAATTCAACAAGATAATATTTACCCCACTGATTTTTACTTTACCGATATTATTTTAAATAATTCAACTAGGAAAAAAGGAAGAAAGGAAGGGAGGAAGAGAGGGGACAGAGACAGAAAGTGTGTTTCAGTTTCCTTGGAGTTGGACTCTTTTTCTCCTTGCATAAATTGCAATGCAAGTAAAAAAACAAATAGTAAGTATTGTCAAAACAATGCAGAATTTCAACTTTTTCCTCAACTTGCTTCAACATGGAAAATAACAAAGAACACTGTATCAGTCAGGATTGCTTTTGGCTACAAGCTACAGAAATCATAACATTATCTAAGCAATAAATGCATTTAATTACTTCAAATGACAAGAAGTCTGATAGGAAGTTCTAGGAATTGATTCAGTCTCTCACAGATGTCAACTTGCTGAGTCAACATCTCCATGATTCTCTTGCAAAATTCACCTCTTAAAAAAAAACAAAGCAGTAGGGAAGTTTCTCCAGGTGGGAAGTCCCCAGACCCCCAAAAGCTGACTCATATGTCCCTTTCGTCCCCAGTGTACATATCACTGGCAGCACCTGTCAGACTGTACTGTGATTTTTCAGTTTTCCTGTCACTCAGCAACAGTGACGGGACTCCCATCTGATTTCTAGCACCAAACAAGTGCCTGGTATACGAGGAGGCCCTTAATAATGGCTCTTTCGATGTCGAATAATGGTAAGCAAGCGGAAAGAGTTAGAGGAGTCCAGGCACTTTGCAGCATCCTTTTGGTCCTGCTCAGAACCTTGCAACTAAGTGGTAGAAAACAAAGGGGAACAAAACAGTAAGGAAATTCCGAAACACCGTAAGACCAGGAAGAATGCACAGAGACACAGGCATTGCCAGACTGGGCCCAATTCAAATCTTGAAAACTTGAACCCAAAGATGCTCAGGCTGCCAGCAGAGGTCTGACCAGACAAAACTGAATGTTTTGCCAAGGTAAGCCTCAGTGGACTTCCCATCAGGGTCTGGCTTCCCTTTGACATGTGCCCTCCCCAAATAAATTGGACTTTCTTTTTCTGTTTTTTGTTTTGTTTTGTTTTGTTTGTTTTCTTTGAGACAGAGTCTTGCTCCATCGCCAGGCGCCAGGCTGGAGTGCAATGGTGCAATCTCGGCTCACTGCAATCTCTCTCTCCCAGGTTCAAGCAATTCTCCTGCCTCAGCCTCCTGAGTGGCTGGGACTACAGGTGCAAGCCACCACGCCCAGCTAATTTTTGTATTTTTAGTAGAGATGGGGTTTCACTATGTTGGCCAGGATGGTCTCGATCTCTTGACCTCGTGATCCGCCCGCCTCAGCCTCCCAAAGTGCTGGGATTACAGGTGTAAGCCACCGTGCACGGCCTGGATTTTCTTTTTTTTTACTCTCCTTCTCTAAAACCAGTCCATGAGGATCCTTTACTGACCTCTTGACGGAAATTCTCCCCCTCTTCATCTTTGTCACTCAGGGGTATGCCTCCATCCTAAAGACCTTGCTCATGATAGCTGTAGCCCAGATTTCTGCTTTGGAAGCACAAAAACCAGAGACCAGAGTCCAAGGCAGGTGGAGATGGACTTCCAGAATGAGAAATACGGAGAGAGAAACAAACATCAATGCAAACTTATCTTCTACCACATTTGTTATTCTGGTAGATCTGTGCATTCCTGCAAAAGAAACTTATCTTTCTCTACATGTTCCCAGCAAACTGGGTCTCTGCCCCAAATTCAGTTTTTTGGAACAGTAGCTCTCTAGCAAAATATTCCATGGTACTGTGGGTACTAGTTTCTCCAGGCTCAAGTAGGGAAGCCCTTTTGCAGAGTGAGTTTCTTGCCTCACTTACCTGGGGATGGCTCATCTAGGAGTCCCTCAGCTTCTCCTTTTTGCATTCACTGCCCCAGAGGGAGTCTGGCAACAGGCTAAAGTGAATTTTGCGCAAAGATAAAATGGTCTCCTTGTCAGTGTCTGGCTTCAAGATGGTAGCCATGTGGATAGTGAGCTCCCTTGTTCAGACCTCCAGTCTGCTCTCTTCCTCCTCAGCGGAGGCTGGGCAGGCACCTTACACAGGAGGTGGAGAATTCTCACCTCATCTTCCATTCTCAGGAATCAAGAGACCACATGCTATGATCTGCCTCTCCTTTCCCAAGACCACCTCGATTCTACCTTAGTTTGGTCATTGCCAGCTGTGGTGTTCTAGAGTTTGCCATGAAAAGTTCACTTTTTTTTTCCTACAAAAAAAGCAAAAGGAAGAAAATCTTTGTTTCCCGAAACTTGCAACTCTCTTCAAAACATTGTCCTGAGCCCGGGCAGCGTTCCGCAGACTCCCGCTTCCACGTCTGTCTCGCCTGCTCCAAGGCCCAGTCCCCCATCCTCAGCAAGTGATCCAGGCCACTGAGGGCCTGTTTGAGGGTCAGGCCAGCTGGGACAGGGGAGATTCCACCTGCCCATCCGAAATGTCTGAGGAGAGCGAAGGAGCAAAGGACGTCTCATCCCAAAATGTGCTGAATTGGTATACTGATTATTTCAAGTTGCAAACGTTGGAGAAATTGTAGTTTCAGAAAGGGCTTGCTGACCTGTCTCTTCCTACAGGCATAAGCCATAAGGATTCCTCTGGGAGGCCAGGCACAGTGGCTCACACCTGTAATCCCGGCACTTTCAGAGGTCAAGGCAGGCAGATCACTTGAGGCCAGGAGTTTGAGACCAGCCTGGCCAATATGGCAAAACCTCATCTCTCCTAAAAATACAAAAAAAATTTTTTTTTAACTGGGCATGGTGACACGTTCCTATAGACTCAGCTACTAAGAATTGCTTGAACCCAGGAGGTGGAGATTGCAGTAAGCCAAGATCACGCCACTGCACTCCAGCATGAACAGAATAAGACACAGTCTCAAAAAAAAAAAAAGAAAGAAAAAGAAATCCTGGATCCAGCCCCACCCATGACAGGTACACTCTTTATTTTCATTCATTAGCTATTTTTACATGAACTTACGGTCTGTATTAAAACCACATTATTGTAGGGTGGTAGGGGCACAGTCCTTGTGAATTTGGAATCCACCTTCTTTCCCCAGGATTGTGTGTAAGGGGGTCTCACAAATGTTTGGTCATTACAGGAGGCCATAAAGCGTCCATTCTTCAATCCTTCCTGCCCCCACCCCCCGACCCTGGGCCCATTTCTGTCTCCACAGATGCCACAGTACTTGCAGGGGCACAGGAACACCTTGCTGTTTGGGTGCCACTTTGATCGTGGTCTGTGCAGACTAGCACTCTCACCACCTCTCTCAGTACTGCCTGGGAAGTGGGGCACAGAGCCCCGCTCCAGCACCCACCAACAGCTTTGCTCTCCTCCCTTCCCCTAGCCATCCACTCCCCGGCCCAAGCGTGTTGTCTCTTACTCAGAGAGAAACCCCCTCTCCTCAAACCCTATTCTATCAAATTCTTCACCTTTATCCCAAATCTTACCTGAGGCTTAGGTTTTGGAAACCAAAGTGACTTCCCCTTTCTCTTGGACACTTTTCACACCACTTCCTTGAGGCAATGACCTAGAGGAATTCCTTTAATGGCGTGGGCAGAAGAGGGAAAGAAGACACTAATCATAGAAGACAGAGAAAAAACATCAGTTAATATTTTTAAACACCACTTCACTGCATCTGCTATTACCTGATTTAAAATTGTTAATTAAACCTCAGATGGCACCAGTGATTGCAAGAAAGATGCCTTCTCTGCAGGCTATTGTCCTTTATTCTCCCATCCTGAGTACTCCTTGTTTAACCCCAGCCTGGAAGTTTGTTTTACACCTTCACCCATAAGCCTGGACCCATTTTTACAGCAACCACCTTTCTGTCCATTATTCCACTTAGCCATTCTTCTGCCTACAACTCTTCAGATCACTTAACATTTCATTAGGTGCTTTATCAGGAAGACAAGGAAGTAGTCAGGTATCTCAAAATGACTGGCTTCATTTGCCAATTTCTGTGTTTTGCACTAGAAAGCATTTCTGCAATTCAATTGGCATACTCGAGCACAGTCAAGAGAAACTCCTCTTGTCAATTCCAATTCCACCCCATTTACTGGCATGCATAGTTGAATGGGCGGCTTAAGTGGGGTTGTTATCAAATGAAATGAATTAGAATTTGCATTACATATACTTTCAATTATTTATGGTTTGGGGTAACCCATATCAGTAACTTTTCCCCTCTACTGTCCTGAATCATCAAGAGAAAGCAGAAGGAAAAGTAGCTCAGCATTTTTTGCAAGGTCTGATGATGATTACTGCTGACTATGCTGAACTGATCTTTATTAAGAGCTTCATATCTGGGCTTCTTCCTATATCTTTCAGACCTTTGAAGATCTTTGGGTCTAGGGCCATCACTCCATGGGGCTAGAAGAGACCAAATGTGATGGGAGAGGCCCTGCTAGGTCCCAACTGTTCTACCCTCCTGAAATCCCCAATATTGAAGTTGCTTTTAAGGCTGCTTTCAGAAAAAAGTCTTAATTAGACACTAGTTGAGTAATTCTTTTAGGGCATGGGACATGGCCCTTTAAAAGGTCACTGTTAAAATGTAAATTTGTGGGCTGCTCACCATAAGGAATCTCCCCTAATTTTCTCCCATGACCAGCTTAGTTAACCATCACCCAGGAAGGCTCAAAGAATCCAACTCTTCAAGGGAGGATTTCTGCAAATAACCTCAGGACTATGTCTTTTTTGTGTGTGTGAGATGGAGTCTCACTCTGTCATCCAGGCTGGCGTACAGTGGCACGATCTTGGCTCACTGCAACCTCCACCTCCTGGGTTCAAGCAATTCTTCTGCCTCAGCCTCCTGAGTAGCTGGGACTACAGGTGCACGCCACCACGCCTGGTTAATTTTTGTATTTTTAGTAGAGATGGGGTTTCACCATTTTGACCAGGCTGGTCTCGAACTTCTGACCTTGTGATCTGCCTGCCTCAGACTTCCAAAGTGCTGGGATTACAGGCATGAGCCACCGCAAATGGCCCTCAGGACTGTGTCTTTAATGGTGAAAGGATAGAGCTTGACATTCCAATATTAAACAGCCTATTACGTGCATGCAGACTTCGGAGAATGTATACAATGGACCTCAGTTTAGAACAAAACAAAAGGTCTTTAGTTAAACCTAGAAAGCTAAGCACAAAATAATTAAGCTAAGCATCCCTTCATTCCAGGTCTGGAGCTAAGCACATATTCTTAAGCCAGTTCTTTTTTTTTTTTTTTTTTAAAGACGGGGTTTCACCATGTTGGTCAGGCTGGTCTTGAACTCCCGACCTCAGGTGATCCGCCCGCCTTGGCCTCCAAAGTGCTTGGATTACAGGCGTGAGCCACCGCGCCTGGCCCACCAGTTCTTTTTTAATTTAATTCATTGTCATACAACTTATTTCCAACAAAGTTTATGCAAGCATTTTGGTGCTTTTCTTGTATCTTTTCTTACATAAAGAAGAGCCATATTGGAAAATCAGGGTGGTATATCATTAAAAAACGGATACGAAATTATAAAGAACCGATGTGGTAACTAAAAGTAGATTATAGAATAAAAGTCTAGAGAAAGGGAACATAAACGAAATTAAAGGGCAGCATTTGCAGGTCTGTTAATTGCATGGTAATTGGGAGTCAAAGCAGAATCTATTTAGAATCCACAAGGCCTATTAGGAGTCCAGAGGACCAATAGCAAGTCAACCAAAATTAGGAAAAGAAATCAGGTTTTAATTGTAAACAGAAGACTAATCATTAGCTGTTCCCTTTCCCTAGAGTAAGTCATGGATAGTTGCCTGACATTTTACATTTTACTTTAAGCACAAAGAAAAAATTACACAAGTGGCCTACTCATTAGCAGGTTTTCCTGCATTAGCAGCCATCATAAATTTAGCTAAAGTCCAAGATGTAAAAACATCATCTCAATTCCTTCCTAATAGCATACTTTCAAAATTGTCTTTTATTCGCTGCAGGTCTACGATTGCAGAGACAAGACCCCACTTTTCATACATGCATAAGAGCACGTCCATAGCCTTCAACCAAGTCATAGACCAGTCACACGTACACTGAAAATCCAGCTAACTCTAAGACTTCCAAGAATGTATCTCACTGATAAGAGGCAAAAAACTGTTCAAACGCTGTCATGTTCATGTGGTCGAAGTAAATTATGTCACCATAAGCCACAATTACATACATATTGAGACAGGATCAAATGATCCTGAAATTGGTAACATCTTTTAATAACCATGCTTATTACATAGGAGTCAAATATGACTTTTAATACTTATTCTTGCTGTAACATCTTTAATTATATTAGGGCTTTGATCACCAAATACATTTGAGTAGTCCATTGATGAGTTAGAAATGATAAATTATTACAGACATTGTTGAAATGACAGATTATACACTAGTCCCCTTCTCTCCACAGATTTCGTTTTGTTTTTTGAGACAGGGTCTTGCTCTGTCGCCCAGGCTGAAGCGCAGTGGCGCTCTCATGGTTCCCCACAGCCTCAGCCTTTTGGGCTCAAGCAATCCTCCCACCTCAGCTTCCTTAGTAGCTGGGACTACACACACATGCAGCCATGCTTTGGCTAATTTTTAAATTTCTTTGTAGAGACAGAGTCTCCCTATATTGCCCAGGCTGGTCTCCAAACTCCTGGGCTCAGGCAATCCTCCCACCTTCGGCTCCCAAAATACTGTGGTGAGTCACTGATTTCAGCCTTATCCAACATTTTGGTTTTCAAAGGTTTAGTTACCCATAGTCAAATATGGTCCAAAAATATTACATCACTACTCTTGCACTTTGGGGCCTTAAGTAGCATAAGGGTCACTTGAACAGCACAATAAATATTTTGAGAGAGAGAGAGAGACACTACATTCACATAACATTTATTATATACAGTATATATGTTATTATAAACATGTATGTTATTATATACTGTAATAACACTTATTACATTATATTATTATAATTGTTCTATTTTACCATTGTTATTGCTGCTAATATCTTACTGTGCTTAATTTATATATTAAACTTTATCATAGGTGTGCATGTGTAGGAGACAACAGCACAGGTTAGGTATCCCTAATCTGAAATCCGAAATGCTCTAAATTATGAAACTTTGTGAGCACTCAAAGGAAATGTTCATTGGAGCACTTTGGACTTCAGATTTTCGGGCTGGGAATTTCAAACTTGTAAATATAATGCAAATATTCCAAAATTTTTAAAAATCCAAATCCAAAACACTTCTGGTCCTGAGAATTTTGGATAAGGAATACGCAACCTGTGTATATAAGGTTTGGGCATCCACTGGGGATCTTGAAACTTACCCTCTTCAGGTAAGAGGGGACTACTATATTGAAAAGCAACCAGCCGGGCGCAGTGGCTTACCCCTGTAATCCCAGTACTTTGGGAGGCTGAGGCGGGTGGATCACGAGGTCAAGAGATTGAGTCCATCTTGCCCAACATGGTGAAACTCCATCTCTACTAAAAATACAAAAATTAGCCGGGCGCGCGCCTGTAATCCCAGCTACTCAAGAGGCTGAGGCGAAAGAATCACTTGAACCCCGGGCGGCAGAGGTTGCAGTGAGCCAAGATTGCGCCACTGCACTCCAGCCTGGCGACAGAGCGAGACTCTGTCTCAAAAAAAAAAAAAAAAGCAACCTTGTTTGATTTTATTTTGATGCCTCACAATTCGTTTGTAAGATCTACAATCGATCTGTGCAGGTTCTAGGAACATTTCCATAGTACATAAAAGACATAGAAATAGCTCTGCTTTTTAAACGTCATTAAGTAAATACAGTATTATTGATATTAACTACTACTGTAGAGTTTTTAACTTTTTATTTAACACTTTTTGGGCAAAAACTTTATAACCCAAGGGCTCCATGCTACATAGTTTTTAAAAAGACTGTACTGGCTGGGCACGGTAGCTCACACCTGTAATCCTAGCACTTTGTGAGGCTGAGGTGGGTGGATCACCTGAGGTCAGGAGTTCGAGACCAGTCTGGCCAACATGGCAAAACCCCGTCTCTACCAAAAATACAAAAATTAGCCAGGCATGGTGGCGGGCACCTATAATCCTAGCTCCTCGGGAGTCTGAGACAGGAGAATCACTTGAACCGGGAGGCAGAGGTCGCAATGATCTGAGATTGTGTCACTTCATTCCAGCCTGGGCAAAAAAGCGAAACTCTGTCTCAAAAATAATAAATAAATAAGGACTGTACTAAGTATTTCATCCACTTTAGCACCTGGTAGGTATAAGGTACTGGGATAGGCACTGGAAAGACTATTAAAATGTATAAAGTAGCACAGGACTAATATCATAAAAGAAGTGCCACAGGACCTCAAAGGAGGAGAGGTGGCTTCCAGGGCAAGGATCAGGAAAGACTTCATGGAAGTGACAGAATAAGAACTAGACCAAGAAGAGTGAAAAGATTTCCGGTAGGCAGCTCAGCAGATATTTCATTCAGTTACTCAATGTATATTTGTTGAGCCATAACTGGTGCTGAAAAATGTCATGGGTGAAGGTGCAGAGGCAGATACACTCAAGAATGTTGGCATAACTGCTGGCAGATGGACTAAATTAAATACAGCATAGTT